TCTCTCTCTCTCTCTCTCTCTCTCTCTCTCTCTCTCTCTCTCTCTCTCTCTCTCTCTCTCTCTCTCTCTCTCTGTCGCGCGCGCGAGCGCGTGCTCTCTTCCTCTCTATACATATATATATGCGCGTTTCGTTTTCAACTTTTCGCAAGCGTTTCTCGATGTTGTCGTTAATTACCGCTATCCCATTCGATCCCCGACTTCGGCGCAACCATCGACGCGAAACCGGCTTTTTAAGCTACCTCCTCGAGCCTAAGAGCGAGAATCGCCCCAAGAAAATTATGCGGATGCGATAGAAGAAATTTCAAGGAAATTTCGTCGATCGATGTCTTGGTATCGTTGAATAATATCATTTGGGTCAACGGGTGGAATGTCACAGAATAATGTTAACTGAGATCTTGTTACTAATTAAGGATTAATCCACCACGACGAAGATGATTCTTGCGACTGCTATAAACAAAATTCTTGTGAAACTCTGCGATGATCCGTTCATTATGACATGGAATAGAGCAGTCGGGCAAATAATTTCCTCATTAGCTGGTTAATTTCGATCGCCTCGTGAAACATTCCGTTCTGCGAGGAATTTCCATACCGTGAGAACAATTTATCTCGGTCCTCGAATTTCTCGTGTTACGACTTTACGAGTCCCCGCGAAAATGTCTATCTATGCAGTCACCATCTGCGCGACTGTCTTTATTTATCGTAGATTTTGCAAGACGAGATGTACGCATCATTCTTTATTTCTTCTTCTTCTTTTTTTTTACGAATAACGAGCAATTGTTCCTATGTCGAGACTTGGAATTTTTGAATCGTATTAGAATCGTTGGATATACTTGTATGTAATTCCGTTGAAGAGCGCAATTGACCACAACTGATTCAAGATGCTTCTCCTGTCCCTGTCTCACAATCAGTCTCGTATACACTTTTCTGCTAACCAAGTAATATACATATATGTATAACGAAGCGATCCATTCAACGCTCGCATCTGTCTATTTATCTTGTCCAGGCGGCTCGGCTTTTGCCGAGGACGCAGCCGTTAGAGAGGTAGCGAGCCTCCGGTGATAATGATGCACAACGGAGACACACGCGAGCAGAGCTTACACGTGTAACAACTCCACGGCTGGTTAAAGGGACATCGGGCGGGGAAAAGAAACGATGGTGTTTGAAAGGGAGAAAGAAGGCAGGCAGCCAGGCAGGCAGGCAGGCAGGCAGAGAGACTGTGGGTGAAGCAACGAAGGTGGACGAAGCGACGAAATGCGAACGGAAGAGGTAAAAACAGCGAGTTAGGAAAATGGAGGATTACGAGGGAAAGAAAGCAATGTAGATGAAAAGAGATGGAAGAGAGAAAAATGAAAAAAATGAAAGCAGGCACGAGGACGAAAGCTGCAGGAAGAAACAGAGAAAGGGACTGATAGGGAGAAAAGGGGGGGGGGAGGTGAGACAGGGTGAAAGAGTCTGGTGGGAGTCCATTAACGAGTGCCGTTTTCATACCTCTTCTATGCCACCCACCCCCTTTTTCTCCCCCGCTAGTTCTCGGCTCCTCTCGCTCGACAGCAGCTCCTCGTCTCCTTACCTCGTCTCTCTTTCTGTTTGAAAGAGCACCTACCAGCACAATAGATCGTTCATTACCGATACCGGGTACTGGTGCGACGCATACCCATTACCCAGCCAAAAGTTGAAAGATAATGCGAGAAAAGAAGAGCGTCAGAGGCGCGAGTTCTCTTGGCTACCGCGACCACGACCGCGACTGGACGAACAACTCTCCAACAATTTGTTCGTTGCGACGGCCGAATTTTTCAACATGTTTTTTAACATGCTTTTTTTAACCGGATCTCGTTACGATTACGAATCGTAGTTTATCGTGTACGAGTTACACCACGAATTACATACATTACATACGAATTACATGTATACGAGTACACCATATAGATATAACGCGCGTTTAATTTAATGATTCTCGTCGTAACGGTTTCACGGAAGATACCATTATCTCTATGAAATAGAAATTTGGAAGCTTAATGGCGCAATCCTTCCTGGTTCCAGCGACGCGTCACAACCGTGAAGAGTACCAGAAGTGACAGGACGGACAGAGTGCAGCCACGAGCATCGATGGCGGCCGCGAGCTTTCCGCCAAACTTTTCAAACGTCGGTATTCTGGAGAACTGGTAAGTGACTATGTAATAGCTTGTCATGCTTGGATTTACTATTGGAACTTTCTTAAAAGTCTCGAAAGCTTCGTTAAAAGGCTGGCAAGAATTGTTTCAAGATTCGAACGGGCAACCCGTGCAGACGCCTCGACGCCGATGTTTATCTTTTTTTTCTCGCCATTATAGTTTATTCGAAACAATACTTTTTACAATCATTTTTACGAAAATTTACGAAAATCTACATAATTTTTCGGAATGCATTACCGAGGCGAGGCGAGGCGTGGCGAGGCGAGGCGAGGCGAGGCGGAGCGAGGCGACTCCACGCTGCGAGTATATTATTATGTACCTACACCTATAATATTATACAATCGAAGCACTCTAGCATTCGTTTGGAAGATTCGTTCAAGCTAGATCTGTCGTAGTGCATGCTGTTTAGAAAAATATGTTACGACAAATGTGATCCTCTTTGCGAATCCAATACCGATCGATTTGGCTCGTAAGAAGCGAGGATGTGCACTTGAAAGTCGGTTAACGAAGGTGGTCTGTTGACGTTCGAATGAACCGCGCGCCGCGTCTAAAGTTAACCCATGCATCCGCGTAAATGCAGATAACCGTTGGCAACGATCTATTGTAAAAGCAAAGAAACTTTGAGAGTTGAAAACCGCGACCTACGAGCCATACATTTCAGAGGAATTTGTGTCAACGATTGCAAACACAGCGGTACATACGTAGTACGTATATCGTGAAGCTTCTAGTCGACTGCGTCCAGCTCAGGGACAACGTTCGAATACCTATTTGGAAGAATAGAAGAGGGGTTATTTGGTCTGTTATCGATGTCGATTATTGCTTTTCCCTAACAGATTCGCGATTCCCTTTCGAAAAAATCTTGCAACTTTATTCAACGGTATCTTTGACGTTTCAGGCGTTTAACCCTTTATTTACTGGTGGAACTTGCAAGTTGTCACAACGATTCGATGCGATACAGTCAACTGTGTTCGTTTTCCTTGTAGCCTATACTGTATCATACCTGTTCTACTAGTGTACCGTACCTTTATCGGTGAATTCTTTGACGAGACCTTGCTTACTTGGTCGATCAACCGGGAACGACGAAGGATTTCCTTGACGGAAAGGAAGGATGACCATCGTCTTATCGGTCCTCGTCCCTTCTTCTCCTCTTCGTCTTGCCATTTTCCCTGAGGGCACTCCAGCTCCTTGAACCACTCGGAAACAACTTTTCGACAACCTCAACGGTTTCTTAAACCATTTCTCGATACGTGCAATTACAGCATGTATGTTTTTTTTTAACGCGATCAATCAAAGAAATTTCATATTTCAGGTTACTCCGGTTAAGGAAAGGCCTCGAAACTGTACCGTTTTTATGATACGCCACGAAACAGTCGAGATTCTCCATTGTCGGCCGAATATGCACATCCGAATTCACCTTAAAGGTCGCGTCGGCGACGTTTCGGGCGCGTAGAAAAGACGGGAGTGTCAAAAGAGGCATAATAGGGCAAAGAAAGCGGCAACGAAGCCATTGTTGCGCGTAACGAAAAGCTCGAAATACACTCGAAAGAAGACGAAACATATTCGGTACGCGGTAATTGGTGCGAATGATTTCGGTCGGACTGTGAGAAAATCGTAGCTTTTATCCAGACCGAGAGAGTGCTCGGTGTAATTTCGAGATAAAGGGAGATTTTAATTTTGATCTGGTAGGATTCAACGTGGGCCAGCGTTAGGCGTGCCAGTCTGGTTTTTCTTCTTTCTATTTCTTCTCTGTTTCTCGTTTGCGCTGTCATTGACGATTTCGTTCTTTTCCGTTATCTCGACTAAATTTCAACAGTTTGAGTAACGAATAGCGAATACAAATTTTCGATACTTTTTCATTTCTTGGTAAGAAGAAAATGTTTATAAAATGTCGCATCAAATTTTTAAAGATATTTCTCGATTAAGTAGCTCGTTCGAGTAAGACAATTTTTTACTACTCGTACATGTCTATCCGAATGATTATTTGAAACGTACGATATATAATTATTGTAAACGATTCGAATAACGACCAACTGCGATCCGTATACTTATCTTAATCATTCCTTTTGCCCATGAAATACATAATGCAAGTGGTTTTAAACATTCTAACGAACGTATCGATCGTTCGCCAAGAGATTAACGGAGAATTCCGTTCCGAGTGGCCGCGAGTGGTGGCGAGTATGTATCTAAATCGATAATTCGAGTCGAATTTAACAGCTATTACCGGACGATATAATTCACCGTTAAACGGATATGATAATGAAGCCAGTTAGCCATTGGGAACGGTAGTCGGTTTGTTGTGCTCGCGCAGCTGTCGTCGCCACTATTTTCGTGGCTTCATTCAGGAAGGAGAAGATGAGGAAGATGTTTCGGTTGATAACCGTTGCCACGTTGACTAGTGGCGGTGCTAATTCATTTTACGAGAGAAGCACACGTGCGATGCCAGGTGCACCGACGTGACGCCGACGCCCACGCGGCGTAAATTCGGCGACTGGTGTGACGTGGGCGGCACTTAAAATTAGCTAATGTTAACACCGATAAACTGGTGTGCAGTTTCATATTTACGATACTAGATGCCGTCTTGGACACGCAGTGCCAAAACTTTGACGCGATAGACGTGCCCACGTGTAGGTAGGTAGGTACGTAGGTAGATAGGTAGATAGGTAGATAGGTAGGTAGGTAGGTAGGTAAGGAGGGAAGAGGTAGGCATGTTTGAATCGGGCGCGGATCGATCGTTTCGATCATAAATTGCCACAAATTCATCGGTTCTTTTCCCAGCTTCTCGAGTATTCTATTTGTTCGCGATGCGATCGGTGAATACGCAGCAGTATTTCCACGTGACATTGCCATTACCATGAATACTGTACAGGAGGATAGACGCGTACGACCGTAATCCTTCGGAAGCGGCTCAACGTTGGCTGCCTATGCCTGTAACGATAGGCTTCGTCGAAGCTTTCGAGATATGGGACACATCGGCTGACTTGCGCGCCGACTCGATAACTATCATTTCTCGATTTTATCAAAATACCAAGTTTAATAGCGAAGGAAACGCAACGAATCTCAGTGTTATCCGTTTTCGAATAGGATAAGTTTCGACTATTTTCTATATATCCCAGTTATATCATGTGACGAGAGATTTTCAATTTCAAGTAAGCCCTTATGGAATAGTGCGCCGATCTAGAATGCGATTCGCATAATTATAATTATCGCGTCAAGATCACTCCGCTCGAGGATGCTCGAACGAAAGAAAATTTCAGTCGTTTCAAATTAAATTCAAAGTAACAAGGTGATGCTTGTGTCGGATGAATAGCAGAATAACGAAATTAATTACGTTATAGTTACAACAAGTAGCGACGGTAATAAGCGGCAAGAATCAATAATCGATCGTAGACCGTTCTAGTTCCTCCGGCACGATAAACTCACTCACGCGTTCTCGACAATTTCAGCGCGAATCAAATTTTTACGTATCGCTCAAATGTATTGCATCTACCACCGGTACCGATTAATCGTACCAACGATTTGTTTGTTTACCGCGCTGCGTCGGCGTCGCGCGGCTCGACGAATCGAATTTAAGGATAAAGGTCGTACGATTTCATTTAGGTATTACTTGCGTGACGCAGCCGAGGTCGTTTAAATAGCATTATTTAGGTGGCAGCATTATTTCGGTGATCGCTCGAACAAGCCGGATCTGTAATGTTATTCGAGTGGAAAGAACATTACGGTGAATAGAGGAGAAACCGACTCGTGTGGTTCTCCGGAAAAGCGAACGCGGTCAAAGTGGCCACGAGATACAAATGCCAACGAATTATTTTCTACAGAGGCCGCGATTGTCTTTCAGGTTTAACCTACGATGCTTGCAACCCTTGTCAACTTTTAATCGCAAATATCAGCCTCGAAAGAAAATTGGGCCAAGTTGTACGAGAGTCGTAACGAAACGTGATTAATTTATTCGATCGAATATGGAAAATATGGAGCGAGAGGAAAATTGACAAAGTTCGAGCAGCGCGAGTTGAGAAAATTCAGCTGTTGGAATGATATCCTGAGACCTGGCGACACGCTCGAATTAACGTCTGCACGGATGGTTTCCTTTCGCTGCGTGATCCTCGTTCCTCTCCGTTTACCGCGGAAATGTGAGTTTAAAGAGTGCATTCGTGCCATCGAGTCTACTATAAATAGGCGGCCAGCAGACGTTTCACCGATATCGTGCCGTTTCCTCGATGTCTCTGTTGCCCATGAAACTCTAATACGTTCTCAGTTTGCGAATAAATCGGCGAGAAAATAGAAAATGGAAAAAGGCGAGAAATAAGTATTACAAGTTGCACGAATGCACTGTGATAATTGAATCGTTAGTTGGTCGCGAACGCGAATCTATTCAGCGAACCATCACCGAATTTCGCGTTAAAAGAAAGGACACTAGTCTCGTTGTTAGAAAATCTAATAGCTGTATGACAACAGTTTTCTACCGAAATTCAAAGTGAATGCGAGTTTTTTTGCTTTTGGATCATCGTGGACGTTGTATCGTACGACGATAGGCATTCACCAAGTTGTCATTCTAATTCCGATTTTTCTTGGACCGTGCTTGAGTCGAGTCGAGTCGAGTCGAGGCCTCGACTCGACGATTCTTCGATCGGAATGACCCCGGGGCTGTCGATACTGATTCCGGTGTCCGATAAGGGTAACGAAGACCCATACTGTTGTCGTGCAAGGAGAATAATACTACTTTCTCTCTCTCTCTCTCTCTCTCTCTCTCTCTCTCTCTCTCTCTCTCTTCCCTCTCATTTTCCTTTTCCTTGGTCGTTCGGTCGGCCTATTCTTTCTTCCCTGCCTATTTCCTTTTCCTTCTCCGCCCTCTCCCTTTTCCTCTCCTTCCTTGTTCCTCCGTCTGCGCGTCTACTATATATGCCTCCGCGAATCGATACGGTATCAAGCTCGAAACGGGGACGGAGAGTCGATGGTACGACAAGGTTTTGGTAACGATCTCGTCGCGCGATATA